CATTCTCTTAATGAATAGAATGATTTGTTCTAATGGTGTTAGTAGTTCTGTTTTTAACTTTTTCTTTTAATGGTGCTGAGGACTGGAGCCAGGGCCGGTGCGAGCTGGGCAAGTGCTCTAGTGCTGAGCTGTGTCCCCAGCCCCTCTGACTTCTTGAGGCATGTCGCACAGCTTCCTATTGTAGCCACACTATTTTGCTTTCCCACCGCAGGGCCAGGGACATCGCTTTTGTCTTCTGCTGCGGTGCATCCTGATCCTTCTGCCCCACTCCTCCTTGTCACTCTCTGGCCACTCTTACTTTGGTTTCTGAGGTATACTCAGACCCAATTCTGACATGTCCTTTCATGTCCAGGCCAGGTCAGGTCCCCACAATGTTCCCCTGTCCCCTGGCTGGAAATACTTTCCCTCCACTGGGGTCTCTAGTCCCTGCTGTCTCTTGTTGCTGTTAGGCAGTTGGCAGAGACTGCTGGTTTGCACATGACTGGAGTTACTGGCTTGTTCCTGAAACACCGTACTTGACACCCACAGCTCTAAGCAGGAGAGGCTTGCTTTGGCTCACGGTTTGTAGGTCTCAGTCCATAGTCAGCTGGCTCTGAGGCAGGGCGGCATGGCAAAGGGTGGTGCGCCGGAGAGACAGCTGGCCTTCAGGTGAGCATCAGGCCCATGCCCCAGCCGCTCCCAAGAGCCCCACCTGTGAGCACATGAAGCTTCGGGGCATTTAGGTATAAACCACAATTGTGCATGTGTATGTTTTATATTTTAGGACAACTAACTGCCGTCTTCTAAAGCACAAGATATTGTATGTCCCCAGAGGGCGTTGTAGACTGTACTTGAAAAGAGGAAGGGTTCCTAGGAACTTCTAGCAAGGGAGGACTCCCTGGTGGCAGAGAGCTGAGGAAGCAAAGGTCAAGAGCACAGGCTGCGTGGTTGGCCTTGCTGGTGCTCTGAGCATCACTACCGCTGACACCTGGTGCACAGATCTTGGCTTCTGGCCTGGGGTGCTTGTCAGCGGTGCTGAGTGCTTAGTCAACTAACTGGAGGTCATCAGCAGACCCAGGACGGCCGGGTTGCAAAGGCCCCAGGGCGGCTCTGGGTTTCCGTCATGGACTAGAGGACCACCCCCTCACTCCTAGTGCCCATTTGGTCCCCCGCTTCATGACCAGGACTGTCTTCTGTCTTCCATCTGCCTGTCACTCTGGGGTTTTATAACCCTCAAGACCTGCCTTCTGCCGGTGCCCTATGAGGCCACGGCTAGTCCTGGTCCCTGTGTTAGTTGGAAAGCCTCCAGCCAGAGGACAGCGAGGCCACATCGCTTTGTACCTGTGGAATGGCCCTAATCCAGTTCAGGCTGCTCTCACGGCTACAGCGATGTGGCCAGTGGTCCTGCCCATCTGGTGGGGAGAGGCTGGGCAGCTGTTTGGACAGTATGGTGCCCGCACAGCAGGCCCTGCACAGGGCTGGTGCTATTTCTCCCTCACCCTGGCCTGTTCCACCTGCCGTTGTCCTGGCCCTGGGGGGGTCTCTCTGAGGAGTGTGGCTGGGGAGCTGGCATTTTCATGTAGATATGCAATGAAGAACCGCTGGAGGGATGGAGGAAGGACCTGCTAAGCTACTGAATATTTGTTCTTTGCTTCTTCATCTAACTTTGCTTTTTGTTTTCTACATATTAACATATTTCTTCAGATATCAGAGAAAGAGGGCCCAGGATTTAGCTCAGTGGCTTAAGCACCTGCCTAGCAAGTATAAGGTCCCAAGTTTGATCCCTGGTACCACAAAAAAAAAAAAAAAAAAAAAAAAAGGAAAAGAAATCGGAGAAAGAATAGATATTAAAAAATCAAAACCAGTTCCTGTTCTAAGGAGATTGATGCAGAAACCATTGGTCCTTTTACCTGTGCTTCTCTGTTCTCAGGGGGACTTGATCTCATCTTCATGCCAGGCCTGGGCTTTGATAAGCATGGCAACCGGCTGGGCCGGGGCCGGGGCTATTATGATGCCTACCTGCAGCGCTGCCTGCAGCTGCCAGGCCCGAAGCCCTACACCATTGCCCTGGCCTTCAAGGAGCAGCTCTGCCCCCAGATCCCAGTTGGCGAACATGACATGAGTGTGGATGAAGTCCTCTGTGAAGACCCCTGTGAAGCAGAAGACCAGATCCCCTGAGAAGACCTTGAGCTCAGATAACCACACTGAGTGGAAGAAAATGTGTTTCCCTTGTCAGAGTTAGTTGAAATTGCTCATTAAAGTGAACATGGCCTGTGCTATTTTTAGTGTGAGTGTGAAACTTGCCATAAAACCGTCTGCAGAACCTGTCACCACTACCGTGCCCCCGAGTCCTGGGGCTGCTGCCATGAGCTTTGCAGTTAGGTCAGGAGTGCATGAGGGACCGCGCAGCTTGGTGTGGGAGGAGGTGGGGCACCCCGGGGGCAGTCGCTCACTGTCCTGCTGCTGTGGGGTCAGTGGGTCTCTGCTGGGCGTGTGGAGACTCCACAGTTGTCAACAGACTGGCTGTCCTTTCTTGGGGTGTCAGGTTCCCTGAGAATATTGTGCTACTGCATCACGCCTGGCCTCACTCACCCTGAAGTCCCAGGTGCAGCACTGTGAGCTCTTGGTGGGTGGGAGGGAAGCTTGTGTGGTTTCAGCTCACTGGGCCCCATCACTGCTGATTTCTGAGTGTCAGTGCTTTTAGGTTGAAGATCTGATAAGTCGTAAGTTAGGGGCTGAGTTTTGCTCCCGCGTGAGTCCTGTGTGCCTGACTTGGCAGATGGCCTGCTACGCAGGGCTGGGAATTTTGTGGAGGAGGCTTTGGTGCCCCGTGAGGCCAACAGCCCCCTCCCTGCTCCACTGATCCTGTGACCCCGTGACCCAGTGTCGTGTGACTCCATGACCTCACGACCTGCGACCAGTGTGTGGAAGGCCTCTGGCACCTGCTCTCTCCTCCTGTTGCCCCGCTGTTCTCCACACCAACCCCTCCACACTCCAGAGCCAAACTCAGAGCCTCTTACGGATGCTTGGTCTGCACTGTTTGAGGATGATCTTATAAAGCACATCTGTCACTAAGCACTCCTGATGGGGCGTTTGGGCAACTTCAGAGCCCCCTCGCAGGTGCTCCCACCGCTTCTTCCAGACTCTCCTTCCTCCCTTCCTCCTCTCACGCTGCGTTTGGGAGCTGCGTCTGCCCTCACACTGCAGCATGTCTGTCTGGGGCGCCTCCTCCTCCTCCTCCTCCTCCTCCTCCTCGGGGGAGCCCTGCGCTGCCTCGTGCTCTGCACGTGCCTCTGCTCTCCTGCGCCGCTCTGCGTCTCTGCCCTTGCCCGCACAGCCCTGGCACTGGGCTTCTGGCCTTCGGTCTGTCCACTGCTCCAGACGGAGCTCCACAGGTACCTCGTTGCGCAGACTGCCAGACAGCGTGGTATGCTTTTAGTGAGTTAATTGAAAATATGTACAAGGACTTCACTTAAAACACAGTCCACTATATTCTGGATAATAGAATGTGATTTGACAGTTTATATTTTAATTGAAAAACTTTAAAAAATGTCAGTTGGGCTAGTGGTGGATCTGTGCAGCTTTGATGCACAGTGAGAAATGGGAAGGAAGTGGAATTGCCACACGTGGCAAGGACATGGTCACCGGTGGGAACCTTGGTTAGTGTTACTTCACCTCCCGGTTAGGGTGGAGTATAGTATAGCTCATGTGGTTGCTGGTCTGAAATGGTTAAAGGGTGAAATCCCTGAGTTGCTGCAGGTCTGGGAAGTTTTACCTTGTTGACCCAGTTATTCCTCCACCAATGGACAGTTAAAAACCCAGTTCCTGGTTCCTTGAGTGTGCAGGGTTGTGGAACTGACTGGTCGAAAGACACCAGGTCCTGAGGTTCAAGAGGGTCAGAGTGCCCAGTGTCACTCTGGAGAAGGAACTGTTGTCTAGTGACCAGAGGTGCCTGTGGTCTCCATAGAGGCACAGAAGGGAGGACACTTGGTGGCACAAATGACCGTGACCCTGTCCCTCTATGTAGAGCATCACCTAAAGGGGTACTTGGTGGGGTGACAGGAAGCAGGAATGGTGGGTCGCAGGGACAGTGTGAGTGGAAGGGTGGAGCAGCAGCTAGGCTGAGCAGAGGCATGTCTTAGCTGGGGAACTGCAGGCGCACCAGGCCCCAGCGTGGTGCGTGTTCTGTAGGTGTGTGCCGCTTTTCCGGGATGTGTGAAGTGCTGCCCACCTATGGTCCTCCTCACTGAGCGCGCGGTGTGCATGGGGGCCTCCGCAGAAGTGCAGTTCCTGGCCCGTTCTTTTCTTGAAGAGATGATTGAGCTTCGTCTGCTCCTTGTGCGTCTGAACCATATAGCCTCATTCCGCCACCAGCATCCAGCTCCTCGGAGACACCTGCCCGCCACATTCTTGGCCTATTTCAGGGTCTGCCAGTAGCCAGTGTGTTCTCAATGCAAGGACGGGCATTCGGGGTCACTTGGCTTGAGCGTGTTGGCCGCCGCTTCCCCAGCGCGTCTCAGGCACGGGCTGTGAGGATCAGCTGTCCTGTGTCCGGGAGGCCCCGGGCCTGCTGTCTGAGGTGTGGCCTTCAGCCTCTGTGGGCGCCTGCCCCCAGTGTGTGGCATTTTACGGTGCCTTAAAACCAATAATGGGGGCCAGGGCGAGAGCTCAGTGGCACAAGCGCCTGCCTGGCAAGTGCGAGGTCCTGTTTTGAGCCCTGACATAAGTGATTAAAAAAAAAATCCCGATAATGCATTTTCTAAATAACAGCATGCACCGTAGGAAACATGCATGGCAGGATGAGACAGCGTTGGATGAAAGGCCGCGCACGTGCTTTTATAATGTGCTCATTTTTAAAAAGAACAATATATAGTTGAAAATGCTTGAGATGCATTATTATGTTCTTTCTTTTTTGTCTTTTTTTCTTTGTGGTGGGTGCTGGGGATCAAACCCAGAACCTTGCATCCAATAGGCAGTTGCTCTGTAACTGCGCTGTACTCTAGCCCCACGTTTATTATTTTTCAAAGCCTTACTTTAGCACATCTTGAATGATTCAAAAGTGAATTAATGACTCAAATTTCAGTTTATTTCAATAATTGGCTTTAGGAGCCTTAATAACTGAAGAAAAATTACCTTCTAGAGACAGACACAGAGGGAAGTGGAGCTGTAGGGACTGAAGTTTTCAGTTGTGTCCACCAATTTCGCAGTGATGTTGTAACGAGACTGGCCGGGCAGTGGCCTTCTTTTGGTGTGGACCTGTCATTTCTGTCTATTACTCGGCGGCTGCCACACTCCCACTGTGTTCACAGGGGCTCAGGGGCCGCTCTGGGTGCCTCCTCCGCCTGCTCCCAGGCTCCCAGCCCTGGCGCGCTCTGAGAGGAGCTGGTCCGGTGCCACCGCCGAGCGTGTCCTTTACCCTAATCACGTGTGCTTGGGTTTTGAAGACATCTCTGGGTAGTGATTTACCGTGACCACTTTTAACCTCTGGAGGACTGGAAAATTTGGAGTTTCTGTGCAAAAACACACAGAAACATCTTGAAGTTTAACAGCTCCTTTAAAAGTATTTTACCTTGTGATAATAAAAAAAAAAAATCAGACGAATCAAAATACCTCTCATGGCCACCCTCATCACAGCATAAAAAGTTATAAGTACTCCCTTACACCACAGGGGTCCTAGAGTTAGGAAATCCACGTCAGTGAAGCACACTGCACGCGGGATGTGGCCTGCGTGAGCAGTCCGTGGTGGCGCTCTGCCGCCTTCCTGACGCGGAACCTGCCACCCGCCTGTTAGAATTCTGGGCAGAGCAGCCACTCCCTCGGGAGCGGAAGGGGAAATAGTTTGTCCATAAAGCCTTATTTTTTAAAAGAAAACAATCCTTTCCTTTGTTTCATCTCCTAATTTCTTTGTGGGAGCCGCCTGTCCTGTGAGCCCCGCGGCAAGGTCGGTCCTGTGCGTGGGTATCCCGCGCCAGCACTGCGCCCTGCAGACCGCAGGACAGAGCTTCCGGAGAGGAAGCCGCCTCCCTGTCTTGTCCTGTGTCTTTACCAGGACTTAACTTGTATTTCCGTGGCAGGAATAACCAGTGCTTTTTAATGGGATGGTACTTTCTACCTTTTGCTGTTAAGTGGCAAGACGCAGAGGGCTGTAAGTGCGTGCGATTGTACCGCACTGGAGTCACGGTACGAGGCGCTCCGGCCGCCTCGCCGGCGTCGGTTTCCCCTCCTGCTCAGTGGCCCTGTCACCGTGCCGGCCCACGCGCTCGTCGTGTGTGCAGCGCGCGGCTCGTGGCCAGTGGCCCTGCTCACATCTGGCCTCCTGTGGCCCTCAGGACTTCTCGGCGTGGCTGCTGGCGTGAGTGGGCAGCAGATCAGTGCCGTTGCTGCGTGCTCGTGTATGAGGCCAACTTCCGCCGGCTGTTCTTCAGTGATTTCAAGGCACTTGCATGTTTTGAGAGGGTTTGTTCTGTGGAGCAGGGAGCCACCTGGGCCTGGCCTGCGGGCAGAAACCGCAGCGCACCTCACCCTCACTCTCTGTCGCCTGATGTGCCGGAGCAGGACTTGGCCCCGGTGCCCGCACAGGCCTTCTGGTACAGAGGGACCGCGGGCTGGCGGAGGTCAAAAGGTGACCTCTAGCAGAACTTCTTTTGAAGGAGCACATGTAAATAATAGTGCTAATTTCTTCTCCCCAGGGGATCCCTTGCCTGCCCAGGAGTGGGCTCCCTGCTTAAGAGCGCTGTGTTGAGGCCAGGCACTCCTGGGGACAGGCACCGGGCCATCAGTGGCCACTCCGGGATGCTCCTAGGTGCCAGTGTGGCCGCTGTCCTCACCTGCCTTCTGGCTGTGCTGGCCACGTGGCACCCTGTCTTACTCTGGTCCCGATGTCCTGCCACCCTGTCATCTGGTCTCTGTGTGCCCTGACATGGCCCCCGCCTTCTGTGTGCAAGCTGGGCTGGGCTGTGATTGTGGTGGTTGGGCTCACCTGTTTGCAGAAGGAATTATTTAAGTGATTACTTTAAGGAGAGGAAGCTGGTGACAGGGTGGGAAACCCTGTCACCCTGGAAGCAGCAGGCCCCATTCATGTGGCCCTCTGCTTTCAGACTGCCCCTGGCTGACCAGGACTTGCCTGCCAGGACAGTACGTCCCCGAATTGCAGACATTCGAGCTGCAAACTTCCACAGGTGTCCTGCACAGTGTGGGACTTAGTTTGTCAGCATATGCACAAAGCCCACTTTGGAGCAGTTCTCCAGAACGGAGCTTGTTCTCAAGCCGGGGACTGTGC